AAGTCCAAGGCGTCTGTTTTGAGCTTCAAGTCATTTCAAGTCTTTAAACCAAAGCACCAAATATAGCTTAGATTTTTGCAATTTATATGAATTTTAAACTAAATTGTACTTTAAATAATCATAGTATATTTATATATATGAGTATTTATAGAGTATATAAGACTTGTAGAAATGTAAATATTTCCTTTTTAAATGTTTTGACAAGATCTGAGTGTGAATCATTACAGTCAGAATAGAAAGATTTCATATTTAGTACTCCTCAAGTCTTCTCAAGTCACAGGCCTGAAGTCCGAGTCAAGTCCCAAGTTACTGACCTTCAAGCATAAGTCCAGTCCCAAGTCTTACTCCATTTTATCAAGTCAAGTCTCAAGTCCTAAAAAAAATAGTGACTCAAGTCTGACATACTGTGAAACATTCTAGAAAAACAATGATATCTCCATAAAGAAAAACATTTGACGGACCTTACACCAGAAAAGTTACACAATGCACCTTTAAATTAGAAAATTTGGGGAAAGTAATTAAAATCATCCCAAAATATCGGCCAAAAAATAACTGCAGAGCTTATCGGCCATTGGTTTCTCTGGATTCTAAACACCCGGTAGGTATGAGCACAGTCCGAGAAAAAAAACATATCAGTCTTTTTCTATTATCAACAACAACAAAAAACATACATAAACATACAAATAGCTTATTTTCGTACTCCTCTATGTAAAAAATGTTGCCTTTAGGGATGACTTGTCTCACCATATTACCTAAGATTATATGGAGTCTGAGCTTTTCTTATGAATAACCCAAACGTCTCAGTGGAGTTCAGGCAGTTTCCAGGCACACGTATGACCTTGATAGAGACTATATATAAACAACAGTCTCTCCAGAGCAACAAAGGCCTCTTAGCTGCCAAAGTACACTCCTCAGATTTACCACAGGGAGTTTTAGCGCAGTAGCAGTTGGTAGTACATCAAACCCAGCCCCTATCAACAACTATGGGGGAGATAGACACTTTTTACCGATTACTGTTGCCTGGACAATCTGCTCCCAAAAGATCTGGAGCCGAGAAGTCTGGACAAGTAGGTGGCAGACATCGAGATCAATACTCAACAGAAAATAAAACTGTAATCCTCAGAGTGAAATTGATAGTGTAGGTGCTGACATAATATAAAACAGATGGAACAATAAAGGTGGAGCTAAAAATGGTACAAAACTGTCAATAATAATAATGGGCTTTAGTTGTTTTGAAGGTAACAATTTGCCAACAATGAACTGCCAAAAGATAGAATTAGACTATGCAACAATCAAACAGACTGGCTAACTTTTTGTTTTGTAACATGTTTGTAGTTTGAATAGAAAGTCCTACCTTAAAGCTTAAAGGTGCACTGTGAAACTTTTTGGTTGGGGTCTGTCACGATGGATATGTTGCTCTGCCTGCAATTACAAGGTAGTTTTACCACTCAAAAATACCTAGAAAAACAGACATTCTGATTGTGAGCAGGGTTGCCTCTCCACAGATTTGACCTGCAACTTGGTCTGGTTTGGTCTCCATGAAGATAGAAAGGTTTAATACCATACTGTGAAACATTCCAGACAAATCAATATAATTGAGAGGGCATTTGACTGACCCTCCTCTAGAAAAGTTACACAACAAACCTTAAAAAGCATTTGTTCAATTTATAACTTAAGATTTTTGCAAGTTTTATAAAATGCCACTGAGAATACTTGTCTGATGCCCCATGCTGGAAACATCTGGGCTTCCACACTGTCATTGTTGGCAGATAGATGATTCATAGCGAAGACCATTTGAGCACTGTTCCTGTTATACTTTTTACTAAATATTTTTTGTTGTAAGTGTTAAAGATTCTGTATTATACAAAATTTACTTTTGTGAGCTTTTAACCATGTTATAATACTGTCACCTCATTAATCCTTTATTAATAGTCTGTCTACTAGCTACCTAGTGCCTCCTCTCATTTTAATTTCTCTCCAGCGACTAGGTCAGGAATAGGAATACACGAGACTGTTTGCGAGAACCCCGAAAGTTGTAGACCGTGTAATCAGTGAAGAGCTGTGAAGCCATGACTTGGTCCCTTTTGTGGAACAGCACAACAGTAAACAAAGTGGCCAAGATGGATGTAGATGAAGCCATATATTTTGTGTTGGCAACGATTCCTGAGATCGAGGATTTAAAGCTGGAACAAATACAATGTTTGGTGAATTTTATCAAGGGGAAAAACATTATTGCCCTTCTTCCTACAGGATTTGGGAAAATCTTAATATACCAGTTAGCCTCATTAGCGGCACATTACATACGTTATGACCAAATAGCAGCGACTGGTTAAATAAAACAAGTACCCACCTACTGTTGAGTGAACAAATCCTAATGCTGCGAGGTCAGACAGTTTCCACAAAGTGAAACCGTCTGATGAATCAGGCTATCCATCTACATCTTCAAAGCTCTAAAATGCTCTGTTCCACTTTGTGATGTCAGGTATTGGTAGTTTTCAAATTAACATCTACATTTTACCTTTTGTTCAGCTGAGCTTGGCAACTCCAGGGCTGAAATTATCCAACTGATTCTAGTGAAGGTGTATGAAGTTTTAAAAACACAGTGGAGCACTGCCTGTATTACCACATGTGTTAAACAAGTGTGAATGAAACAAAACAAAACTCCAGATATGTTTTTGATACAGAAACAACATTATAACATATCAGAAAATAGCCTAATATAGGCCCTTTGACAACATTATAAGATGGATAAAAGCTCTTTGAAGTCACACAATATTTTCATTTATTTCCCGATAATACTTACTAATCCTCAAGCTGGACTCTTGTTACTGGAAATGTCGTCACCAACACATAATAATTCATAACGGTCTTTGATTTTGGCTCCACCACTACTTCTATTGTTTTTCTTAACGCCCTTTGCGCAGTGTAAGAAAACATCTGCCCATCTTGGCTGCCTCCATACTGTTATAAACTGTCTCCCCTCTGGAGTCACTCTCTGGTCAAACGTCCAATTTGTCGTACGCTTAGCTTTATGACTGTTTTAAGTACTCTAGGCTGGCTGCTAATGGTATGTTTACATTGTGTGGGGAGATGGGGAGAATATTTAGTTTCAAAATAAAACAGTGTATAATATTTTCATGTCATAGTGGCAATAAAAGGTCTAGTACTTCCATATATGTGCTGACTGCTGCTTATCTGTGAATTACTGTCATAGCAAGAGTAGCCGAATATTGTTATTAAAGGTGCATTGTGTAACTTTTCTGGTGCAGGTTACATCAGATGCTTTTCTCCATGGGTTTCTCCATGTTTTTGCTTTGTCAGGAATGTTTCACAGTATGGCATTTCTATCATCATGGAGACAAAGCCACAGGCCAGATCTGTAGAGAGGCAACCCTAGTTAAGTAGACCAGTTTAATGTCATACTGTGGAACATTCCAGTCAGAACAATGAAATAATCATAGAAACAAGCAGACATTTTCAAATAGTAAAAAGGAGAAGTTTATATTTGTATTACTTGTCTCATCTCTCACAATGTTTGGGTAGAATTCGCATGCACATTTTTGGGGCTTTAGAGCAGCTTTGTCAGATTCAAAAGTGAAGCAGCTTGGGTCACCCTGACACCCAATCAGCTCTCACCCCAAAGCATCATACAGTGACTCATGAGGCTCTTTCTTAGTTTGCAACATGGATCTATAATAAAAACTGTAGTTAGGTTAGGTTGGGTTACTTTTATTCGTACCTGCTGGTAAATTTGTTTTGCAAATTTGAGAGGCTGGTCCCACATTTCACATTTCATTCATCCACATTATGCACAATAAACACGTATAAAAACACAATTACAAAATAAAGTGTTACAGTACTCCAGTGCAGAATGGCTTTGTTCCATAAATAATGAATTAAATTCATCCATCACACTTAGCTAAGATCACCATAAATATTAAATATATAAAAAACACACCAAATTTTTTCCAAGGCAAGGTACTAAAATCGATAGATAGATTACAATTTATTCATGAGTATGATAGCAGCTGGAACGAAGCTTCTTTTAAAATGATGCGTACCAGATCTTGGGACTAAAAGCCTCTGACCAAAGGGAAGCAGCTGAAACTCTGAGTTTAGTGGATGTTGCACGTCTTTTAAAATACTCTGGGTGGATGAGGCAGTCCCTCTCTGTCCCAGCTCAAGACCAAGTAGTGGCCGCTCCAGGTACTGTGGTTCCCATAGCCATGCATGTTTTGGGAAGTCAAAACTGCTCGTGTTTGGCTGACAGACCATCCTCAGCTTTCACAAAGGTTGGATTTTTTTCTATTTTCACATCATAAACTTTAAAAAAAAATTAAAATCCTCAAAGCGGTCTTGAGTTCACCTTCAGATTTTATTATAGTTCTATGGTTTGCAATAGATAAAATATTTCTTGATGAAAGATGAAGTGTGTAGAGGTCTAATTTTACTTCTACAGTAGAAGTAAAAAGCACTCACCAAAATTATGTGGAAAAATATTACAAAAGCAAAACTTCATAATAAACATTGAAAAAAAGAAAGTTACCAGTAGCCATGAAGTACGGTAGTACTGTAATGCACATGTGAGCAGAGTATGGTTACTATAATATTCTTACCCAAGGGAAGTTTAAAAGTGCACTATGTTTCCATGGAGATGCTATTGCTTTGCCACAGTAAAATGCATGCTTCTTCAACCACCACAGAAGTTACACAGTGCCCCTTTAAGAAGCATTTCTACTCTTTGAAAACCCCACACTGAAAATAATCTGATTTCTCTTTTCCGGATGAGAGAGCTGCGAAAAAGTCACGACTTGGTGCCAATAATTTCAGAATCCGGACCCCACAGACAGACCATAACCCAGCGAGCGTTTTATCTCCCAAGCTGAGAGTGGAGCCGAGAGGGGTCCGGTACACCTGAGTAATCAAATGAAGGTCTCATTTGAATGGGAGTAGTCATAACAGCCTCTTTCTCTCTCTCTCTCTGTGTGTGTGTGTTACAGATGGCAGAGTGGAGGTGCTGAAGGAGAATGCCCTGCTCGGAGAGATGTCAGCGGGGAAGGTGTTTGGAGAACTGGCCATTCTGTACGACTGCACCAGGACGGCCACTGTCAAGGGTGAGTGACCATATGGGGACTGGGGTGACTCTAGACCTGTCATTGTAATTACTATATAGACTTATAGATCATTCAGTGTATGAAAGATGGAATAATAAGACTCAAAATTGGAATTTATTTGCCATTTCAGTATAAAAAATACACAGAAACAAGACACTGTACTCCAGGATATGAAAAGCATAAAAACAATAAGCGGTTTTAAATATTGTATGTCAGTGTAGTCTGTAAAACAATCCCCACCCGCCCTCGTGAATAATACTGTAATACTTTTTGGGGCTCATTATTTATCACATGTACATTTTTTTGCAATAGTGTGGAAATTTAAACCATTTTTATGTAACTCCATCAGATTAGATCCTCTAGATGATTGAATAAATTGAATAAACATCTACATTACAAAAGGCAATATGTAGGTAAGCAAAAAGTGACTTAAATTAAGAACATTTTACTGTATTTGAGTAGATTAAATTTCACAAGTACAATTATCTACCAATGGAATAAGGGTGTTTTCCTTATTTCAAGCAACATTACATTTTGTTTCTTGATTTAAATGTGTAGCTTAATTTATCTGTGTAGCAAAGTGTATTTTCATATTTTAAGTATAAAAAGTCTTGTTCCACTGGTAGATCATTTTACTTATGAAATGTACTTTCCTGATTCAAGTAATCATAACTTTACTAGATTTGAGTTTTTGCAGTGTATGGCTAATTATTGCTTCACTCTAACATTTATTAATTTGTTTTTTTTTTATGATACAGCCTATTTAAAAATATGATTCATGGGATTATCCTGCTTGGTGACAGAGGCATAAAGTAGTTTCAATATTAGCGTTTATCGTGGTATTCAAAAGTTGTTATAGTGACACGCCTGGGTGACTCGTAAATGTGCACAAAAGTTGGGATTGAATGGCGTTAGGGATTTTAACAACAGTTTTTTAACTACTTTGACTTTGTGTTGTCTTTGTGTTTTATGTTGACGGGCCAAGGATTCTCAAACATAATTTATAATATGGTCTTTGTTAGATGATAAAATAATGTAAACTAGAGTAAAGTTGTGAAAAGTAACCTATACTCAGTTCAGTACATACACTACCTCAAAAAAGTCAAAAGTTGGACTCACTCTCTCTGTAAGTTTAGAAAGTAGACAAACTTTATTGATCCACAGGGGAATTACTTGGACACAGTAGCTCACACATTACATTATATTACAATAACAAAGAGTAAAAAGTATAAAAGTGGTAATAATAAAGTCTGAATAATTAGTAAAAGAATAGAAAAAACATTTGAATGAGAAGTTGAGTCCAAACTTTTGACTAGCAGTGTACATTTTTTGTAGAATTCATCTTGCACTTTACAAACTTTACAAAATTCTCATGTCCTTTATTCATTTACATTCAGTAAAATAGATGTGGACCATTGGCCACTTCACCCTCAATCATACTTATATGGACAGAGCTAAGAAGAAACTAAATACATGTACCGAAAGTATGTATTCAAGAGTACTCATTTTGAACTGCATTCTGGTATAGTTATTCTTTCGTTTGTTTTTTGTATACTGAATACCACCAAAGAAATACATTGCAGTATTTGATCACGCAATTTAGGCTTCAAATTGCACAGCGTCAGTAGAAAAATATAAAACACAGCTCTTGAGGTTTTAAGAGCTTGTGTGATTTCTAATCAGCGATAAAGTATTCAGACACCTCAACAAAGCATTTTGAAAATCCAATGCCACACTTTTACACTGCAATATAATGAATTCAAGTGTTGTAAGTATTCAGAATACTGATACTTTGCAGCCGATGTCGTCAACATTCCCTGAGGTATGATGCTAACTAGAGGCTCTAATCTGTCTGAGGCTTTGTTAGACTTAAATCTATTTTGTGTCTTATCTTGAGGTTCATCTTAAAAACTTTTTTCTGACATTGTGTGCATTGTGTCTCCATGGTAACTAACGAATGCCCCATCAGATACAGATACATGTAGAACAGACCCAAGTATCATTAGTAGGCTACTCTATTGGAATGCATTAAAAGATACATTGTCAAAGTAAATTTCCCAACATTACAAACAGCATTTTCTCACAGGCAAAGAGGCTGAAATGTCTTTCTTGTACACAAGAGTATATGAGCTGTATAGAGTGGGAATGAAGCTGGTCAGAAGGCTGCTAATAACGTCACACTTAGACCATAAACTGTTCTGCTCCATTGTCCTGCAAGGGTGATACACAGTGATAGCATTGTCCCTCTCCGCCCTTCAGCGAGCTCCACATTCTCAGTGTAGTGCCTCCTCAGACTCCCACAGAGCTAAATGCCAAAGAGTAGTGGCTGGGTTCTTTCATGTGTCAGCCCCTGCTATGAGCGATGAGCTGTGGGTGAAGGGGCTGTCCGTCAGGCTGACCGTGAGAGCTCAGGCCCAGTGAAGGAGTGGACCAGGCGGGTGGGCACAGACGACACATGCTGGTAGTGCTAATGATGGCCACAATGGTGGTACGGGTGGTCTCTATAAATATAGTTCAAACTACATGATGTGGTCATTAGGGTCTGTGGGGTCAAAAAAAGTTTTCATTTAGAGTTGCTAGAGTGAACCAGTTGCAGGATGCTTCTCTTGCCATGCTGGCAGGTGAAGTGTATTGCCAAAAGACACAATGCAAATAGCATGTGGTTTAGACTTAGACAAACTTTTTTTGATTCACAAGATACATTTTTGGACACAGCAGCTCACACATCATAATATAATATGATAATATGAAATGATAAAGAGCAAAAATATAAATGTAATAATAAATCTAAAATGAATAGCAAAAATAGTAAGGGACTGGTGTCAAATAAGGCATACTTAAATGTTATTAGTACAATAAAAAATGATAGAAATATAGTAAACACAAAATTATATCTTTGCTAATGTAATGGTTGGGTTCAGTTCTTCTCCAGTGGGCCACTATTGTCTTACAATTAAATATTTACTGTTTACCAATACAGTTCTGGACTTTGTCATTTTAGATAAAAAATAAATAAATAATAATAATAATAATAATAACAAAAATAGTTTGGTAGATGTCATTCATTCTTTAAAAGCAGATTTGTGGACATAGTCATCTTTTCATGCCATTTTTACCGAAAAAAGCAAACGAGCTGTGACAGCCACATATCCCTGTCTGTGGATGTGGTAGCACTAACATAAGCCTGAAAAGATTTCAGTTGTCACGTAATATTTTATCCAAAAATAGGTAGTGTAGATTACTCTCAAGGAAGAAAAAAATTAATAAAATGCACAATTGACGTTTGGTGAAAAATCCTTTTGATGCCAGAGGTTTGCATGGCTGTAGCAGAGTTTAAAAGGGTCTCATACATTATAAGATGATTATAAATATGGCCTCCAATCCATGGGGAAAAACAAGCAGTTGATCTTTAAGTGGGAGTAAATGACTTTGAGGCTTTGGCATTTTGATTAGCCCTGGTCCCAGTGCTTCCATGTTAATGCGCTGAGCTGGGAGTGACCCCTGGCTGCCTGCGCTCACACGTTTAATAAAACATGTATTGACCTGCCATATTCCCCCACATTGAGCTGTCCCTTCTCTCCGCTTGAGATGTAAATGTGTGTGTGACCCTGATATTTACGCGAGGTCCCTGAAGGCCTCACGAGCGCACCAAATCAACAATGGTAATGATGATTGCACAGTGGATTAGTGGACATCCCTGACACCCCCACCCTTCCTTGTGTGTCCGATCCTTTGGCAGTGACCGCTCAACCTTACCAAACTTTTAGCTGGGGTTGCTATGGGAACAGCCGGCACCTATGGGATCAAATATTCCCATTTCAGGCTTGTCTCTTTCAGTTGGGACGCCTTGGTTTTTTAGCGAGGAGCCCGGGAAGGTTTTCCGTCTCCCCAGTTAGCCGTGGAATACGTCAGTGCTTCAATAAAAAGGCACAGCATGGAACATATGAGGTAACTGCGGTCTATGGGCACAAGCTGTTTAAATACTCTGACAGGTTTACTGGCTGTCTACACATTTACCTTCTATTTAAATTGTAGATCAGAGGAAAGGTATTTGGTGTGTATCCTTTTAGCACTAATGTCTACTTATGGTGCTGAAGTTAAATACAACACAAGACTTTCTTATTTGGAAGGATCTTTTTTAGGGATGTACTGACCCAGCTTTTTCAGTTTCAAACACAGACCCTATAAAAAAGTGGACTGAGTGAGTGTGACGTCACCCATGGCATTCAACGCCACTCAAATGAAGCTCGCGACACTAACGGTTACAGGCTCTATATTATGAATACGATTTTTTAAATGGACAAAAGAGTGAGAAAAAAAACAAAAAAAAACAGGATCATGTAGAGCAGGTTAATACAAACATTTTAAGACCAACATGACGAGGCTCACAGCAGCAGTAACAAAGAGAGGGGCCACAATATTCCAATGTAAGTCAATCGGAGCCAGGGTCAGTAGGAGCCAGAAGCGCCAGCATGAGAACTTCCTATTTGGAATGTGCCAGCTAGCGCGTTTATATACAGTTTATGGTTCCGATACCAATTCTGAAACTATAGCTTTAAACATCTGGCAATATCAAACGATACCAGTGCAGAGACTGAAAATTGCATTTATTTCCTTAAAACTAAACTAAAATAAAACAAAACTGATACAAATTTGTTATGTAGCTGTTATTTATTACATCTTGAGTAACGACAGAACAATTTGTATAAATAAAAGTTCAAATATTATGAGACTTTCTGGCCTGACTACTACCAGTAAATACAACTTATTACATAGACTTACATGTCCAATCAAAATATTGGTTGAAACAGTATTTGGAAGCTGATACACGATCCAGCAATTTTTTCAGTATCGGCGCTGATTCCGATACCAGTATTGGATTGGTGCATTCCTAATAAGTGCTCAGTGCTTGTTGATTGCTGTCTCTAGAGCTAAAATTCTCCAAAAAAATTCCACATTCAAAAGGTGCTGGACACTTTTTTACATGGCTGAGTTGATCA